TTATACAATTTCTTTTGATATAATACGAATAACATTATTTCCGGTTGTTAACCATTTTTCTAAGAAAGTTTTAAGATCTGTACTTTCTCCGCCACCCCTAAAATATTCTCCGTTGTTATCATTAGGGCCATTGTTAGCCATGGAAGCAGGTCTAAAGTTAACATTTAAATTAATAAATTTAAACATCACTAATGTATCACTACGATCTGGATTTAACAATTCTTGGTCAAATCTAATTGCAAAATAGATGTTAGAAACGGATATTGTGCCCAAAATAACAAATAACATCTTAAACAAACAGGTTACCTTGAAATATATTGATCAACACGTGCTTGAATTGACAAAATGGGGAACCCCGTAGCTAGATCTCTTTCATTCTCAAATGTAATAAAATCAATACTTTCTTTCCAGATATCTATTTCAGTTTTTTCACACCCTTCTTTGGACAATCTGATTTTGAGATAATTTTCAAATATTTCTGCAGAGCAATTTGGCTGAGAAAAGTAATTATTTCCTCCATTCGTGCCGAATAATATTGAATTTAATTTCAGATTAATCGGATATCCAGGAGGATTGTGAGAAGTGGAAGGCGTTGAAACAGTTGCTGTAGAAGAAGCGCGTGAAACTGTTGTTGGTGGTAACGCAACTCCTTGTGTCATTATTGAGCTTGATGGTGTGGAAAGTAGATGCTGAGGGGAGCGTGAAGGGCTTGTTACATCTGGCAATGCTGCGTCTAATAATCATAGAAATAGTTGTCATTTAAGCAATAAATAATAGGAATAATTATCTAAAGCCCAGTTACCAGGTGAAGCTGCTATTTCAACACCAAGTACTGTGGCAGTTGTTGCTGGTTACAAAACGGATAGATTAGGCTCAACTATCAAAAACCATAATGGATAAAATGAAAATGCATATAGGAAAGCATCCGAGGAATTTTCTCTCTATTGATATTGATGACATTTCAGTGTCAAAAATATTGACAAACATTAACCTTTAGAACCAATCCCTTTCTTTGAAGATGTGGATGCTTTTCTACCCAAACCAATCCTTTGTATACTAATATTGGAATGCAACTCTGAGGTCCCTAGACGGCCATCATCATCATCACCATCAATATATGATAACGCACCTTCACTCATTGAAAGTGATCGACCAGACTTCCTTTTTGCTTTCGGCGGAGTTGCAGGAGCAGCAGGATTGCCAGTGGTCGATAACGAATATTTTCTCTGTTTAGGGCTCGGATCAACGATCTCGGCAGTTCGACTTGTATTTGATCCCTGTAAAATTTTTCCCTGTTTCCATTTCACTCCGCAAGCATTACACAGAGTTCCTATATAACAATAGTTCAGTAATTGTAGTAATATAAAATTTAAAAATAATCGAGAGTCGCGTACCAGCGCCATCAGGACCTCTTCTCCACATAGGAGTATTCTTGGTAAAACAGTAGGCACATCTTTTGTTGCCCCCGCTTGAACTGGATACTGGTGAATGCACTACATTCGGTGGCACTTGAGTTACTGGTTTTACTCTTTTTGACACTGATGGGTTTGCTTTTGAATTTGTTTTGCTTCCTAAAATATTTATAACTTTCTATTATTAAATCTCTCGCTCTAGACAGAATCAATTAATAATTTATTATTATACCTTCATTTTTTTGTACGGACTTTGCTTTCTTGATTGGCTAAACAAGCAGTGATCGCTTAATAAATTATCTTATATTACCGAGCTAAAAAAGCATAATTTCTTACTGGTTCTGGAACCTCCACATCCACGCCCTTAATATCCTTGTCGTTTCCGATATCTATTTCCATGTCCATCTCTTTTTCCTTTTGTTTTTCCTTTTCCTTGTCAGTTCGACGTCTTTTTTCTTTAGGCGGTGCTATCGTATCAACAATTAAAGTCCCATCCAATCTAGATATGTTCTTTCCGATTACCTATTCCAAATTTATTGATGGAATGAGAACTCTGAACAATATCAACTATGGAAATAAACTTCTGACAATACCTCCAGTAGATCCTCAGGATAGTCACAGGGCAAACAATGAAGTAGATACTCGCGACTGGGCTGTTTTTTAATCTAAAAATGAAAAAATTAGTCATTATAAAAAATCGAGTATCAAAATATTCATCTGACCAACCTTTTCGACCATCGATTGAAACACCGATGTTACGTCATTTGTAACTTTTTGCAATGCATCCCACATCGACTGTGTCAAATGTGTTAAATGCATAGTTACAGGTTGATATTCTTGTTTAGAGACATGCATTTCTTCATTTTGTGGTAGATAAAATGACGCCAGAACCTAAAAGTAATTTCAACAATGGAAATAAG